TATGGTGCAAGATGGAGGTTTTAGGGCAGAGACTGGTCCTTCTTCTTCACCTTCTTCTGGATGGTATTTTGTCACTGGACATTTTGTGCCTTGTTAATGAAAGACTGCAGAACTCCCTACTGTGAGACTCTAACTTCCAGCTCAAATGTCAGCAGAGCACAACACACGTGGGAAGGGGTGGGGAACAACTTGGCTGAGTGAATAACCAAGCAGTGCAGGATTACAAAAACCTACTTAGGAAACAACATTTCTGCATTTCTGTAATCCAGCAGTAAATAACAGGAACCAGAAGCACTGCTGGTGAGCTCTGGCAGGTTTCTGCTGGTGATGGTTGGCCTTTTTCTGAACAGCTCATCGATTCTGGACTGCATCCATGTCAGCATTGTGGCTACACTTGATGCAGTAATTTACTTCAAACCAGAGTGCACTTCTACAGCCAAGTCTTTGTTTTGTAAATGTCATTGCACTTCAACACCACTAACCAGACACCCCTATTTCAAGCTGATATTCCTAAATTCAGTAAAAATGAGCAGCAGGATCACTGCAACAGAGCCAAATGAAAACAGAAAATGCTTTTGACTCCACACAGCCCTGAGTGCTCTGTAGTGTATTATTCCTTTCTGGGAGAGTTTGGATGAGTTGATTAATGGGCCCACTGCTGTTATCCATCCCAAGATGCCCTGAAACCATCCAGTCATCCCCATTCCCCATGGAGGCTTTCAGAGGAAAATCTTTGCGCTTTAGGACTTTGTGGATAAACAAGGCATTAGCTTTCAGGCATTTTACTGACAACCAGAAGTCCTGGACTGCCACAACAAGCTTCCCTTTCTGTCATTCATGTCCTTCCCAAGCTTCCTGCCTGGATCAGATGGCAACAGGGCAGACCAATGTGCATGCACTGCAAGGTCAAGGCACCTGCAGCTATCAGAAACTGCAGCAAGGTGCTTTCCCAACCAGCACCTTCCCATTCTGTAGAAGGTGAGCACAGCTTTGCCAAACCCTGTGGGTTAGGAGTGAGAAGAACAGAGCTCCAAAGCTCACCCTCCCTCCTGTAGCTGGGAGAACACTGGAACTGGTCCCAGCACCTGACCCTCAAGGTCAGATAAATGTTATTTCAGAAAAGCAAGACAAATTAGTGCTTTATGACCAACAAGCTTTGTTCATGGAAGCTTTCTCTTCAGAGATTAAGTGAACAATATTGCCTACAAGTGCAGAGAACAGTAATTCTTTTAAACTGTTGAGCTCAAAGTTTTTCACTCTATCTCTGACAGCTGCTAATTTGGTGACTGAAAAGTGATGTAGGTTTAAAAGTATCTTGTTCTGCCTCTGTGCAGAGACCATCAGCAGAACAAATAAATTATCAGTGTTTGGATTCTCATTACCTCAAATTAGCCTCAGCACAGGATGACAGGAGCAGAGCCAAGCTGTCTGTGGGTCCTTATGTGGCACCTGTTAGCACTCCATAAAGGACACAGAAAGGGAGGCCAGGTTCTCTCTGCTGTCTGAGCACAACAAAGCTTTCCTGACAGACTGTCCATACCTCTTCTGACAGCAACTTTCAGCCTGCACACCCACACTGCCCCTAATCCATTAACAATGAAGCACTTGCCACACCTGGCAGTGACCCCAAGGGGTGCAGGGGCTGCATGAGGAAATTGGGGCAGGGATGGATGACTCTGCCAAATAACAGGTACCATCCCCACAAAGACATCCATCTAAACCAATGCATTTCTTTACAGGCAAGCCTAAAATAACTGTGAAAAGGAAACAGTAAGTTCAGAAAAGAATTTTCTGGTTATCACAGGGAAATGAGATACAAAATGAAAGTGTCCTATTTCATCATTCATTTAAATAGTTCTGCTGGGCATTTCAGGTGCAGCCACAGGAGCACAGACAGGCAGGCACATTTCTGGGTGGGACAAAGTGACCTGCTCCAAAATGCACCCACAACAAAGCCAGCTGTGCAGAGCCAGAGGCTGACAGGGAGGATCATCACAACAGGCACATTCCCCTCTGTTACACTGCTCCTATTACAGCCTGGATCACTCACTCATCTCATGCCCTTCCTCCTCCTTGCCTGTGATTCCATTTGGAGCAGTCACACATCTGTGCAGGAACTAAACCCATGGCTGTGACCTCGAGGCTACACCATGGACCAGAACACGACGAGAAAGGAAATGCATCAGCTTTCCATGAAACCCTCCCAGGGGCCCTGCTTGCATTCAAGCTGCCAGAGCCCCAGATTTTGTGTCCTGTATGGTTTTGCAGGAGCTGATTGTGATGCTGTGCCTCCCAAGCAGCCAGCTGGCCCTTCCTTTCCTCCGTCCTGCTTCTCATGGGGAGGGCATTTCTCACTGCACTTGGTGCCAGTGGGGCTCTTCCCACTCAGATCAGTGCTATACCTGAGACAGGCATTCAAGCAAAACCCATCCAAGCAGGAGCTAGATTTAGTAAAACGAGCAAAAACACTTGGTAACATTGGAAACTTTAAAGGGGAAAAGTAGTGGGACAACCTTAGTGCTGAAGTTGTCCATATAAATGGATTGGGCACTAGCCCAAATACAGCAAGCCTGCCCACAGCTGTGATATATTTAATCAGGTCTTACAGACTAATTATCCTGCACAACTAAATCCACCTGTGAAAATTGTCTTATTTCAACTGTGGGCAAAGCTACTTAAATAACATTTTCACTTTCAAGAAGAAAACCCCAAACAGTATCTCTTCAAGTCCAAAATACCCGCAGCCAACTGCAGTGCCAAGGCAGTGTAGAGGGAATATTTACCAAATTCATAACAAAACTCCTACTCCCCTGAGAAAGCTCCTTATTGTTAATACTTGTGGCACTTAAATGTCCCCAGAACTGTCTTGTGACTTCTTTGAAAGAATATAAGGAGATGATAACTTAAAAAAAGTTTCTTTGGGTGTCTCCCCTTCCAAAAAAGTTGTCTCTTTTTCCCAATGAAATTTAACTGCCACCACTATGTTCTCAGTGATGGACTACTGAAAATACATCTCTTACACCACAGTAATCTTGAAAATTATTTCATCAGCATTGGTGTAATATGATCAGTATTGTCTGCTTAAAGTGCATAAAAAGCAGCTGAGATTTCCTCAGAAGCAGACAGCAAGGCTAACTACTGCTTTGCTTTGACTAAACTAACAGTACTAAAAATGTGTATATATAAAAGTAAATTGTGCATGAAAATTGTACAAGTAAAAACCACTGCACACAAATGAATAAAGTGCTGTTTTGCAGTAAGTCTGAGTCAGTTCTCCCTGCTGCAAAAAAAACATGAAATCTAAAAAGCATCTGAAAGCTTCTAAAAATCAAGGTTTCCTTTTCTCAGGCTGTAAAATGTGCTGTTGGCACACTCACTTTATCATTCAAAACAGCAACAAGTAAAAACAGACCAGAAGGACAGAGTTAATTCAATGCAAAGATCTCCTCTCTCAGTAAATGTCTCGCACAGCACCACTCTTAGCAACAGAATGTTTATCCAGCACAAGATAAAGAGAGAGGCTTTTCCCTGACACCTGGGACAAAACCAAAGAACAAAAGCAGCTCCCAGTGCAAGCCAGCAAAGTTACATTTTTCAAGTGTTCCCACCTAACGCAGACAGAAGGCCAGCCACAGCAAGCCACAACAAACAACCTATTTACCCACTTCCAGAAAATGCTTGTAAATTTAAACTGTGTGAAATGTCTAACTACTGCTTTCATTCCATCAAAAGGCTTCATCTGCAAGGGACAATAAAGCCTCTGGCTTGACCCAAAGGGGCTGCTAGGTTAATCTATTCTGACCTTACCTTTATTCAATCATAATGCTGAAAGATTGCTTGAATGAATAACCAGCATTTAACAATGCCAACAGGCACTCTTTCACTGCAGTGCTCCTCTGAAGTGCCCTCCAAGCCAATTCTTTAGTGACAGGGGATATCAAAAATTTCAAAAATTAATTGTAAAATAAACCAAAAAATGCCATTTCTCATTTGTGGATAAAAAAGGAATGATATTAAAAAAACAAAAGAATAAAATTTTTCTCTTGCCCCTTCATGTCTATTTCAGACTTCCACCATCACTTATTGTCAATTTTTGATAATATGCTGTCTCTTATTAACTGTCAGTCACATCTTTTATTTATAGTATTTTCACTCAAATGGGAGAAACCAGACCAAAAAAGATACTACTGATAAAACCTGCCTTCTAACAATAGATCTTAATCACCCAGGCCTCAGCACTTGGTATTTTAAGAACTACAGGCTTCATTTCAGAGCCCATTCCATGAGGGTGCTCAGCACTGAACACAGCAAAGCAGAGTTAAAATTAAGCACATAATTACGCCCACAGAGGTCAGTAAGCTGCATTCACCACTCACTGACTGATTTAATCACTCAGCTCCCATAAGTTTAAAGTTCACAGCCTATGGTTAAATGCCCTTCTAGAGAAAAGCCTACAGTACCCAGCACTACAGCGCAGAGTTCTCCCCAAGCATTTTTCTCCCTGTAACAGTGCAATAACCACCTGCATGAAGGAGCTAAATAGTCTGATATGTCTGTTAGAGCAAGGAATCTTGCATTTTGTCATGAAGCAAGAGCTGTATTCTCATTGACATATCAGATAGAGCACTCATTTTTCAGCATCCACAAACAAATGCATCTTCATTTAATGTTCTACACCTGTAAATGGTTTAGCAACACAAGAGAATATCAAAAAGCATGACCAGCAAGCACTGAAAAGACACTTAAAAATGCCTTAAAAAATCCACACTAACCCCAGAAACCCCTTAAATCTGTTCCTAATTAGCTTTAGGAAGATGCTTAACATACCAGTCAAGATTAAGTGCCATCACCTTTATCCAAAAGCACAACCATCAAAGAACTGGGAAGCAAACCATAAGGCAGTGACAAGAGCATGCAATGCAAGAGGAATGAAAAACAAAAATAAGAGCTTTCCTTTGGCTTGCAGAGAATACTGTTATAAACTATTCCAAATTTCCTACCTTGAAAAGCTGTGATGTGACCAACAATCATGTACTTCAGCTCAAAGTTCAGGGCCTGGATGCTCTGAGCCCTCTCCCTCCGAACAGCTGCCTGGTAACTTTCTTCCATCTTTTTGGTGCAACATGTTGGTGCCCTGTGTTGGCAGATCTGTAAATCTGACTCTTAAAGCAAACAAGAAAAACACAAAAATTAGAAAACCTCTGAACTTACATCATAAAAGCAATGCATCTTAATGTCAGAACCACCACATTTGAAATTTTGAAACAAGACAAAACCCACGAGGAGTAACAACGTGAAACTCAGCTGTTGTCACAAGGACACAAAGTTGTGATTATTTCATTTGAGTAACATGAAATTATCAGCTGATAAGTTATTTTACGCCCTTAAGAACACTGGGCACAAAAGTCACCTGAACACAGTCAGGGGCACAACAGAATCATCATCATGAAGATGTGTGATGGTGTTCACAGAGGTCTGAGGATGAGGGAAGAGATGAGGATCTGACTCCATGTTTCAGAAGGCTTGATTTATTATTTTATTGTATGTATTACATTTAAGCTGTACTAAAAGAATAGAAGAAAGGATTCCATCAGAAGGCTGGCTAAGAATAGAAAAAGAAGGAATGAATAATAAAGGCTTGTGTCTGGCACAGAGAGTCTGAGCCAGCTGACTGTGACTGGCCATTAATTAGAAACAACCACATGAGACAAATCCCAGATGCACCTGTTGCATTCCACAGCAGCAGATAACCATTGTTTGCATTTTGTTCCTGAGGCCTCCCAGCTTCTCAGGAGGAAAAAATCCTAAGGAAAGGATTTTTCAGAAAATATCATAGCTACAAAGATGCACCATCAAAGGGGGAGTATTTCCACCATACACCCTGCACTAAAGGTATCAAAACTTGAACGTGTGAGTGACAACCTTGCCTCAAATCAGGATCCAATACTCAGTCCTAGTGTGCCTCAAGGAATCACCTATTCACCTCTTACACTAGGGGAACCTCCTTTAAAAATCTCTGAGTGCCTAGGCAGCTCACCAAAATAAAATTAAAGGCACTGCAATCACTCTCACTTTGCAACAACAGAGAAAGTTGAAGACTGATTAAAACTTCATTCGTGTAGAATGTTTTTATGTTTTTTAGTTTTTTTAATCATTCCATCTTTGTATGTGTTTCAGTAAGTTTAGTATCCTTGGTAAAGGAACCTACATCAACGAGTTGTGATGGACACATTCAGGGTCTGTTTGGTCTACACCTCGGGACTTGCAGATGCCAGAAAGGATCTGGTACACACTGCAGGTGAGTATTTTCTGAAACTCCACAAACACACATTTTTAGAAGGGGGGGGGGGGAAAGCAGGAGACTGTTAATCAAGCACACCCCAAAGCAGGAGCACACATAAATACCAGAGCCCAAAGAGTCACACAGTTTTAAGTGTGACAGTGTGTGAGGGGCTTCCTTCCCTTCCTCCTCTCCACCTTGAGGCAGAAACAGAGGCCCTGAGGGAAGGGGTTCACAGTGTCCACCTCCCTCCCATCCCTCAGGCTCTGGGAAGGTGACAGCCTTTGCCAGGAACACCAGTGGCACACAGGCGGCCAAGCTCCCCAGTGCCACCCCAGCACTGGCTGTGTGGGTCATTTCACTGGAGCTGGTGTGTCCCACACTGCCCCTCCCTGTGCCCAAGGGGGTCTCTGTTCCCAAACACCACTGGCACCCCCTTCCCACACAGCCCCAACAGGGCTGGAGGGCACACGTGCATGAGAACCACCCCAATTCTCCAGAGAGCCACAATTCCTCCTGAGGGTTTCTAGAAACATCCAGGCCACTGCAGAGAACCCAGAGCAGGCCTTGGGATGGAAAGATCAATGAACCACCACCTGCACTGCCCCTCACACCTGGGGTAATGCACACCTTGTAGGTTCATGCACAGCAATGCAGAACTGACAGGGATCAAAAACACAAGGATGCACTCAGAAATCAGCAGGCACCCCCAAAGGACCAGGCTCTGCTCAGAGTCAGCTCCAGTCAGCAGCTCACTGAGACCAACCCACAAAGAGGAGCTTCAATTAAAAAAAATAAAAACAAGCTAGCTAAAACATCTCACTTGACTCAAAAACATTGCTTCCAGTTTATAGCCACTCTCATTTGAAAGTGCAGCTAATTTATGTCAAGAAGGTCAAAACCAAAGTAAAATATTTCAATTCACTACATTTTTATACAAGTTTGCAAACAAAGATCGAAGTTGCCACAGACTGAGCTGAGTCAGGTACCATTTTGGAGTTGGATTTGTTTCACATTTCAATCTAATCTCAAAAATGGGAAACAAGGACAGTGTGAAGCCCCAAGCCCCACTGAAGGCCCTGCCAGGAACAGCAGCAGGAGGGCTGCGCTCGTCACCGGCTGGGCACGCTGGTCCCAGGCTGGAATGAGCTCCTTGGATGGGCTAATTTTAACTTGGATGGGCTCCCTGGTCCAGTTCACACCCTGAACACGTTTGTCCTGTCACAGGAACTGGGGGACAGGGAGGGACCACAGCTCAGAGCTGGCACCAGCAAAGCACCAGTGAAATTGAAATACAGAGAAACTGCAGAGCAACTCGGTCAGACACAAAGAGTGTCCGAGCACAGGGGCTGGAAATGTCACTCAGCATCTGCAGGACTGGGATGCTGACACCTGTAGAAGGATAGAATACAAGTAAATAAAGGTAGTATAGGAAGTAATCTTACCCCCTAAAGAGTTGCAGCTGGGTTAATTATTAAGGATTAGGAGCAGGCCTGATGTTAACAGGCCACAGCTGTAGCCAGTCAGAAGAGTGTTACAAAAGAGTGGATTGGTGGGAACTGGAGTCAGTGACTGCTGTGACGACAAGGAAGAGTCAGTGCCCAGAGGAGCTGCCTACAAGAAACATTGAGGAGAAGCTCTAGCAATATGGAACCCTTGTAATGTAATAACAATAGAACTCTTGCACTATAATGACAACAGACACCCAGAGCGTTTCTGCTTATAGATAAGCAATGTAATAGCTGGCTCTCACAATTAAGAGATAAATATTATGTAGATGTATAGTATTGTTATTGTGAGATGTCATTCCATAGTCCTCTTTCCCCCCTTGCCTTAGAAGTCAAGACATTCAGAGGAGGCTGGCTTGGTACCAGGAGGGGCAGCAGAACAACTCCTGACCTCCAGTCAAGAATCTCCACCAATGGATGGCACAGAAAGAGCTGACTGACAAAACCTTAAGAGGGACTAAAGATATAAAAGGCAGAGCATCCATTCTGTAGATGAGCCACGTGGCCAGTAGTCACAGGGGGCTCCCAGCGCTGTAATTTTTCCTTATTTAGTCCTCTACTGTAGTTTAATAAAATTTTTAAAAGTGAGCAGTTGTTTCCCACATCAGCCCTCTGCAGTTTTGTTTAACAGGGCTCTGCAAAGTTCAGATCTGTATCAGGAAGGGTTTGAAATGGCAGGAGCTCTGTGCTGGCCCTGGCTAGGAGGCAACCCATGGCTACCAGAGCTGCCCCAGCACTGCCCTCTGACCTGAGGCACACAGGAACCTGCTTCTCCTCCAGAAAGCTTTAAGGATACTGATATCTCAGCTGGAACTGCACTCCTGGGCTTCCCCACCCAGATATTTCCCCCATGAATGCTCCAGGAGCCTGAGCACTGGGATTTGCTGGTCCAGAGCCAAAACGACACAGAAGGCGCTCCTAAATAGAAACAGCACTAAGCCCCTGACAGTTCAGGAGCCTGATGTAAAACACAGAGCACTGAACGCCCAGCAAAGAGCAAGCCCCACTCCCTCACAGCACCGTCAGGTCAGAGCTGCCATGCACGAAGCCTGGCAATTCCATTTGCTCCAGCATTAGCCTCAGGGTATCACTTTTAACACAATTATAGAAACCTAATAAAAGGCTTCACTGCTATACGTGCCTGGGTGCTGAGATTAAATTAGAACTCATTAGTAATGTCTTAATGTCTCTAATAACTCAGATACTAATTTTAGCTTACCTCATCTCTTTCATCTTGATGAAGAATACCCTCTCCAGTGGGAAGAGGGGAGGAGCAGGGACAGAGGGGTGGCTGAGCACCCCAGAGTGAGCTGCCCACCAGCCCCAAGGGCAAACTCCTCCCTTCTTTAAGGAACAAAGCCTTCAATACACCAGAGAGAAAGCACCGTTCCTGAAAGTTACCAACAGCATCATTTCAGGATTTCACCCTGCTAATTTCCATCGAGGACTTGTGTTATCAGCTTTTCCCAAGCTGCCCCTCATTTCCTAGCTAATTTGGGAGGAGCCTCTACCTCAGCCTCCCCCTTAAAGCAGATCTAACTACAGAAGAGCTTCATGCAGTCAAGTTTCAAGCACCTATAAAGATGAACAATACCACAACCACTCAGAACCTGTTTCAGTATTTGACTACACTCATGGTAAAATAAGTAAATTAAAAACTTCTATCTGAAGATAATTTCCCATGTTCCAACTCACACCTGGTTTTTTTCAGCACACAGCCCTGTACCTCCAAGAAGCTGACTCCACTTTCTCTGTTTTCTCCCAAAAGGCAGCACAGCCTCCTTTAACCTTTATTTTCCCCCAACTGAACAAACCCAGCTCTCTATTCCCACGTGTTCCATGATAGGAGCCCCCTGCTAGACTAACTTTGTGCCACAGATGCAAAGCACCTGCATCCAAGGCACCTCTCTATTTCATTTTCTTATGCATTAACTTACTGACAGGGCAGAACACTTTCAACTCTACATGCCTCGGCTTCAATTCAAAGGGTTTATTATAGCTTTCCTAAAACAAATTAATTTTCTGCTTCAGATCAGATGTAAGGATTACTCTGCTGATTATGTACATTATTTTTCCATCCAAGTCTTTTTCCCTTGAGTACTGGTTAAAAATGTGGCCTGGCTTATTTTTTAAAGTGAGAAAAACTACAGACTTTAAACCCTTATTGTTATTATAAAAAACAGGATAAAGTATTTTGCTCCACTTTGAAAAACAGTCTCATTCAGAAGTGTAGGAAAAAAAGCACCTGAGTGTAAAGCATGTGTGTTTTGGAATGCATCAGTGATCCCTGATGAAAACTAGTGTGCAACCCCAAAGCAATTAATACATGCCAAAGGCATCACCTTCAGACACTGCCCTGTCACAATTATAAATT